TGCTTCCAAACCTATACAAATGCTCATACATTTAGATACTGTTTGAATAGAGGGGTATCTACATGTTGTAAGAGAAGGAGGATAAGAATGGTTTCTAGAAACAAAACAAAAAAGCTCAGATGGGTTTCCCTTTTCTTCCCCATCTTACAACTAAAGTAACTTTCAAATTATACTTACTAGTTCATGCAAAACTAGCCAGATCTACTTTGATTTACCATTGCAATTTATACAGTTGAAACCAATTAGAGATAATTAAAGGAACCTGCCAAGCAAAGGCTTAAGGGAGAGCACCCAGTTTGGCAGGAAGGTGAAAAAAAAAAAAAGCATATATTCTACTAAAAGTCCCATTTTTATATATATGGCCATGGAGTAAAATAAACTTGGGCTTTAAATTCACTGCAAACAAACCAAGCAGTGCTGAGGCAGTGAAATCCCCCAGAGGACATCATTTCCTATTTCCAAGCACAAGCTTTAATCACAGAATCACTACATGCTTACGTTCCCCCTGATGCTTGAACGCTTCCCTTCTGTCCTTGCCACAAGCAAAGTCTCTGCTGCTTCAGCACCAACCTCAGTGCCTGGAGATGAGCACAGCTCCAACTGCCAAGCAGTGAAAGTCCAGGTAAATCTGTAAACACAACTAACCAGAGATGGTTAGACGGAATTCAGGATTCACCAGTAAATTCATAATTTCCTACTCTCTGTCTTAAATATGCCCTGTCAGCAGGGCAGATTTAAGACACAGAGTAGGAAATGATGATTTCTGTATGATTCCCTGGTATTTCACTTCAGAGCCCTTGTCAGTGTACTTGTGAGCAAGCTTCCTGTAGCAAAGCTCTTCCACTCCTGAGGAATTGGGTAAAATCCTTCTGCTTGGCAAGTGTGCATTGACAAGCCCTGTGCCCTGCCAGCCATTCTCTCCTCAAGGTTAGTTCTGCCACTGAATTTCTCTAGCAAACTGAACAATACTGGTTGGTCATTACCACAGAAGAAATGGCATTTCTGACTTTGTTTCAGGCTCCCAGAATGAAAGAAAGGCAGGGACAGAAACTAGAAAAAATGTTTTAAAGAGCAGGAAAGAAAAAATGTGTGTAACATATGCCAGAAACCCAGCTATGTTAACATTCAAATGCCTTAATTTCTCATTAAATCTTGGACAAGAAGATTTAAAATAAAAGGAGGAAGTTGATGTTTCAAGCCATTACCTTGGCTTTTTCATGAGGCATCAGTACTTCAAAAGTAAGAAAATTAAGTTGGGCTCTTCAACCAAAAAAAAGCTCAATTTGCCAACAAGTTCATTTTGGCAACAAGTAGTGACATTTTTCTCCCACTTATATAACAAGATTTGTGTACACCTTCAACTACCAGCTTTCTACATTAATTTCTCCCAGTGAAGATATTTTTTCAGTATTACTGTTCCAGTTCTCCAAGGAATACTCACAAGACTCTTACTTCTGTTTAGAGTCAGAGGCATCATCAGGATATGAGAACTAAATCTGTGTGCAGAATTACCGAGTAGCTTTGGGTTTTGGCTGGGTTTTTTGAGTTGTTGGGGTTTTTTTAATAATTTGTCTAAACAAACTACTCCTTTTGTGTGTATATATATATATATATATATATGTCAACCCTCTACCACCTCACCTGCAATTGGGTTGTTGCAAGGGGGGACAGGAAATCAGCATGTGAGATCTGTATGTGTATATATATATATATAAAATTATATTTTAATTTTTTTATTTTATATATATATATATGAAATTCTCTTCCTCAGCCCAAAATATGAGTGTGTGCTCTGCAGTCCTACTCAGTAAGGAAGTGCCCTGTGAGAGGAGAGGGAAAAAAACCCAAACCAGTTCTGTTCTAAAAGTATGGTAACATATTCCTTTTGAAGCTTGAAAAGTCAGTCTGGGTTTGTTGCATACATTTGTGTTTTCTCAAGCTCTCAGCACTCTTGCAGTGCTGGCTGCCCTGCTCTGCTGCTCCAGCTTCCCTGCAGCACAGAAAGTTGTTCCACGGGCTTCACAGGGAAACACACTCCTCAGCTTTTTTTTATGGTAAATGCCTGATCTAGTAATTTTTGGTTTTGGTTTCTGTGTTATAGAAAGTCCTACTTTCTTTTCTTCAAATACTTTAGTGCAGTTCTTGCATTAAAATGTCTGGTTAAAACTATTGAGAAGAAGCCTAAATGCAAGATACAATGTTCAACTACAGGGAAAATATTCTAGATACAAGTAGGCTTTTCAATGTATCAGGAGAAAGCCACCAGCAGACGGAGTGGGAAGGTTCTAACCCAACTCAAACTACAAATGAGACTCGTTTGTTAGCAGGAAATGTTAGCAGAGTGCTGGCAGGCCTGCTAATGGCCCCTTCTGGATTTAAAATGAACAGATACATGTTAGAGTGGGTAACAGCTGCAGGGGAGGAGAACCCACTAGCAGAGATCTATTTATTGGTACACCTTGGCTGGGTGAGTTTCTGGAAAGTCACTGTGTAGCATCAGTATTTCATTTTATTAGAGTTCTTGACTTTTTTTTTTTTTGAGATTTTGCATTACTTGAATTTTACTCAGAAAAGCTAACAACCCCCATATGCTCTATTTATTACGGAGTGCAATTCCCTCTGAATAAACTCTGATGGAAAAAGAAAACTTAATTTTTTTTTCCACTCAGTGGATCTATTTCTAGAGCAATACAAATCAGTCACATCTAGTGATCAACAGTGGCATTGTGATAAATGTCTAATAATCAATGTCAGAATCGCATCTGTATTTTATTTGCTGTGCTAAAATTCTGAGAGATAAGTGACCTGCTTCAAGCTAAGAATCATTCAAATCAACACACAAAATTATCTGGTGCAACAGTTTGGTACACTACCTCATAATCACTTTATAACAGTGCCTAAAACTTGATGTGAGCAGCTGACTTTGGACTGGTATGGTTTGTATTCCAGTGATGGACTTGGTAAGACATACAGCAAAAAATGAGGGAGGGATTATGTTTGGGTTTTTTTCCCCCCAGAAGTAAATACTAAAGACAGAAAAATATTTTGGAGGAGATATGAAACTGTAAATTCTGTCACTGAGACATGAACCTCATGGGTAGATAAGAAACTAATCAGAAAAGTTCACAAAAGATTCAGCATCACATACAGAAAAATTGGTGTAGTGTAGCACACAGCTAATGGGCTCTTTGGTCATTTGAGAGGTCCACATGTCTTTGTCTGGTTGTACAATAGCTGCATTAGAATGGATATTTATCGTATTTAGAGAAGGTTACTCTGATTTGCTCTTGCACGGTGACTTCAGTTTAATGCTTATGTGGTTTTTGGACTCTTACAGGTAAGCAAGTTTCTTTTGGTTGCTAAACAAACAGAAGTAATCCTTTACATGTTACCAAGGAAAAATCATGTAACTTTGGAGGCTTTTGGAGGGGATAACCATGGGGCATGCCCTGGACTTCAGACACTACTAGGAGAGGATAGGACAGGGCTGTCTCTGCCAGGCCAGACTTAAGGTAGTCATGATGTGATCATCTGGTTTAATAAAAGAACATTTTAAGAAATACTTAGGTTAGTTCCATTCAATAAAGTAAGAATCTAAAAGCAAAATGTGTGCATCCTTAACAAATAGAGGGAAGGTCAGTTTGCTTCCAGATACATTCTACATACATTGCAGGCTTCTTCTAGGTTGAAGCCTGCAATGGAAACACTAGGGGTTTTTTTGGAGGAAAATGTTGTGAAAATTGTATACAAATTTCTCCAGGAGAAAAATGAAACAGCCTAAAACTTATCTGAAATGCTCCTATAACTGTGCTTCAGCCTTTGAACGTGCTTTCTATAAATAACCATTACAAAACATGCTGGTCTATTTTAGAATATGATTTGTTGTGAAAGACTGCACTATACTGTAGGTCTTACGTTACAAACCAAAACGTCCCCTGATCCTGGGCGCCGAGCTAGCGAGGGGTTTGATTTCCCTCAGCTTTGGTTTGGGGGCTTTATTTATCTGCGTGGTTGTTGTCCAGGAATGAAGGGTGCGTGACGAGGGGCTGCACCCCGCCATGGGGAGACGCTCACTGCCTGGACAGGCTCTGGTGGCATGCGGGAGCCTGGCAGGAGTCTCTGCAGTTAAATAACCGGGGTTAGTGCCCACCTCGGCCTCGAAAGGTGCCCCGATAGGAAGGTACGAACACCCCCTTGGTGCTGACGGACCCTCTCCCCATGAGGCTGCAGAGGCGGCAGCTCGGCCCCGGCTCCCCCGAGCGGCCCGGGCCGGGCTGCCTCGGCCGGGACAGGGCCGCGCTGTGCCGGGCCCGCGGGGCTCCCTCCGGCGCCGCCGGGCCCGCGGCCATGGCCGGGCCGTGCGCGGAGCCGCCGCAGCGAGGGGCGGGCGGGCAGGGCCGCTACGCCACTTTCGTAGCGCTGGAGGAAATGGCTGCGCATTGGGCAGCGCGGGCTGCGGGGCCGCGTGTGCAGGGCGAGCGCGGCGTAGCCGGGTCTGTGAATAGCGCCGGCGGAGCGGCAGGAGGAGGAGGAGGAGGCGCCGCGGCGGTTTGGTACCGAGCGGAGAGGGAGATGCACACGGCACTCGAGTGAGGTAGCTATAAAACCCCATTTGTTTACATGCCCTCCCCCACAGCCGCCCGGCGCCGCGGAGCGGGTGGCGGCCGGCCCGGGCCGCGCCGGGGCGGGGGGGCGGCGGTGCGGGCGAGGAGCCGCAGCG